GCTTAGTTGGTTAAAACGTCGAGTACTTCTATCTCAATTCTGATGGCGCATTAGTCAGCGAGTTCGATTCTCGTTAAGCACATATTCTTTTTTTCTTATTTTTTAAGCTAGCTTAACCGGGAGGTTGGAGCGCCCAGTTAACCGGGCGCTCCAACCTCCCGGTTAACCTAGCTGACCACCTCCCTCTGATTAAATATTTTTCGTCTTCGGAGCTAGGTTAAGCGGTCGGTTAACTGGGCGGTTAACCTAGATGCCAACCTCCCGCTCCTACTCGATATGACAACCTAGTGCTCGATTTACTACTAGGTTGAGCTAGCTAACTAGGTAAAAAGGTACATTTACCTAGCTCCGCTTCGTAGATAACCGTCCGGTTACGTCTGTGTTGGAGCTAGCTCCTCTCCATAGACGATTTTTGCTTGGGAAGCCAGACTGGACTGTAGCAGTGCATCCATAACATAAAAGTCGTTCCATAAGCATGTCCAGGATCAAAAAGGAGGAAGTGACAACACAGAGAAAAACTATCAATTATGGAGGTTGGTTAAACGCTTTTTTGAACATCCACGATATTCTTTTAACCCTTCAGCGAGTGGTGATTCCGATAATTCGTCTAGTTCATCTGTACGAGAAGAATATACTTGATTACGAAGTCTTGATGATTCCCTTTTGACGAAATGGGGTTATTGGGGCTTTACTTTAAAATTAAACTATAGCGAAGATATAAATTAGGGATTAACTTTCCCTTCCTTTTTCTAACCCTGCATACCGTTACTGGCAGAGGAGTGTGTATGGAGAAGCGTGCACACCTCCTGGCTTTCGATTTCTGCGTTCTGCAAAGTGTTCTTCGCGATTTTTTTCCGGTATATTCGGAAGAACTCGGTCATGCGTGAATTTTGAAGTTTGAAACAAATAAGAGAAAGAAGATTCTTTCGTCGATCTCTCAGTTAATCTGGAAAAACAAACGCTCATTCGGGAAACATTTTTTCATCTTTCCCTGAAATTTTCTCAGCGTTCTCCCAGCAATAGGCGCGTGGTACATGAGAAATCCAACTCCACTACAATAAATCCGATTTTTCTCATTTTTGGTTCTTAAGGATTTCTTGACGTGCTCTTTCTTTTGTCTATCGGAAGGTTTTTTCCAAAATATTCGTAAGTGGGATTTCTGGAAAACCATGGTTTTTGACCTGCAGGTTTCGACTAAAATTACTTTTAAAAGAACGGTGCGCCAAAACAAATTTTGAATGTGATATGGGAATTCAGCATTGAAAGACGAACATTTTTGACTCCTTCAATTTTTTTCGAATTCCCACTTCGACAAAGCATCGGGATGCTTTCACCAAAAACCTAAAGGAGTCAAAAATTTACGAAATACACCTCATTTTTGATTCAATTTTTGATCCTGATTCTGAATCACAAGGCAACAAAAATAATGTCAATGACAAGCCACAAAAATAATTTTTATATCGCGGTAGTTATAATCTGACTAGCATAATTAGGAATCATTTTTTTATTTTTCCCGTCATACATTTTATAGTTTCGGGAGACAGACCTACGTTATCTAACAATCGAAATTTAAAACGTGCCTCCAAAATAGGGCTAATGAAAGTATAAGTTTGCTTTCGTTGGTGTTAAATGTTTTTTCATTTGAGTAAAGGAAAAGAGATTATGCAGTGCTAAGCTGGTTTTGTGTCCAGAAATAGTGGGTTTTGAATTCACTTTTTGGTGCTATCTTCATCTTCTTAGAGCGTAACACAGTGTTAAAGTAATACTCTCACGTAAACCGTTTCCTTTAAAAATCCACCTTGTATGAACAAAAACGAGGCCTGGTCTAAAATCATTCTTGTCTGAATGTTTGAGCAGTCCACTTGTGTCTTATCTTACTTTTTCTCTAAACAAAAAAACAGCGAAAACCTATCCGCATACGCAGACACTCTCTTGTAACATTAAAGCAAATTTTTATTCCAGAATTGAACAATTTCAGTACAGTCAAAGCCCGCGGTTTATATGTTTTTATCGTCTCAAGAAAAACCTACTTTTCTGGTCCTGTCCAACCCGTTTTCTTTAAAAACCTTTCAAATGTATTCATGTTCCCACCATTTTTCTCAACCAATTTCTTGCCTGAATCCCATTCACTATCTGTCTTTTTTCCGTAATACCCGTATTCTTCAGCCCACTGTTTACTTGATATGAACTCATCTTGTATATCTTTAGGAAAATGTTTCGCGCGTTGACGGCATTCTTCGTCACTCAGTGTTCTACATTTTGATAGGATGCCCGTAACTTGTGTAAACACCCTTGCAATATCTTTAAATTTGATCGCTTCACCGCATGCACAGATCTCTTTGTTCACTAATTTCTCCGGATCTTCCAAAATTGCAGCGACGATCTTACCAAAATCTGTGATATCAATCTGATGAACGATTGTATCTGCTTTCGTAAGTGGTAAGAGGAATTCAATCGTACCGTCGGAAGAACGCTGCGTCATCCCCGTTAGAGGTGACTGCCAATTTTGTATGTAGAATGCTGGTTCAACATAGATCGTTTTCAGATTTGGATGACATTCTCGGATGTAATCACGTATCTTTGCTTTGTTTGTAAAGTGGTGACATGAAGAACTGAAGTAAAGAAAATTTTGGCACTTAAAGATCTAAATTTGAAGGCCTCAAATATTGTGTAATCCTACGGTTTTCCGCA